GTGAGGCAGACAGGTGTGTCTGTGCCTCCCACAGAAATCAAAGAGGCACGCTGATGATGAAGATAAACGTGATCTAATGATAAGAGTCTCTGTCCTCACGACGTCTCCATGGCAACAGAAACAAACACTAACTGCAGGTGGCATCTCATACCCGCCGCCGGCCCACGGCAGGCTAGCGGCGGTAGACGCCAAAGGCCACCAGGCTGAGGAGGATGGTGACGCCGACCAGCGAGGCGGTGGCGGGGGCGGTGAAGAACTGGCGGTACTGGATCTGACAGTACCACAGCACGGACAGCATGAGCACGAGCAGCGGGACCATCAGGCTGCCCACGTTCAGCGCCACGCGCACCTGGTCTCCCGCCCGCTGGCCCCCCGCCGCCCCCCGCGCCGCGTGCTGCGAGATGTGGCAGTGCAGCACGCAGTTATGAGCGAGGTTCAGCGAGGCGAGCGTCTGCGCGTCGTCTTGCAGCAGCTGGCCCTGATAGATGAGACGCACCTGATGCTCCTGCCCCGCAAAGTAGGTCCTGCAGGGTCAGAGGTCAGAGGTCAGCAAACGGGTCCAAAGGCACAGGCAGGAGGAGGAGCTTCAGGGTTACTGAAACTCCTCCTCCTCTATGCAGTGTTACATGCAGTACTCGTACCTCTTGATGTACCCGACCGTGTCCTGCGGTTGGACCTGCGCCATCCTCTCCGTGTCGTTCAGGAACTTGAGTCTGACCACCATATTCCGCTGAGACGCTGCATCCTCCCCGTCTCCTCCTCTGCGCCTCACCCCGTCCCCTCCCACCTGTCCATCCTCTAGTGTGGGAGGAGCCTCTGTCAGGAAGCTGTCGTTCACAGAGGAGGAAGGCGAGGACGAGGACATGAGGAACGTGGAGGTTGAGGATGGTGGGTAGGGGGACGAGGATGAGGAGGCGGTGGTGGATGAAAAGGGCGTGTCCTGCTGGGTTTGCCCAGGCCTCTGTAAAGGGGAGGAGCCTGTGAACAGGTGTTCAGGGGGCTCGGATGTGCGGGTGGAGATCCAGGCGAGCAGCAGCACCGTTAGCAGCAGCAGAGCGGCGAACAGCAGCGTCACCTCATCACCGACACCTTCGATCAGCGCCATCGCCGCCAAGGTCAGCACAGCTCACACACCTGTAGGGAGAGGGCGGAGCTTAGCTTCAGGTATATACACACACTTCTTGTTTACCTGAGAACCCCTCACTTGTCCTTTCACTCCAACATGACTGAAGCTTTTTATGAACCATGGAAAGAAAGAAAACACACCTTTAGGGGCAGGTGTCCCACAGACAGAGCTCCACTGTCACAGTGTCGCAGTACTGTGATACATACAGTACTGTGATACATACAGTACTGTGATACATACAGTACTGTGATACATACAGTACTGTGATACATACAGTACTGTGATACATACAGTACTGCGATACATACAGTACTGTGAGAGTACTACGAGCAGGTGAGCTCCTCTCTCAGGTCGACACAGTTACTTCCTAACTCAAAGCTGACGGCTCAGACAGACGAGCGAAACCGACGTCCGAACATCTGCAGGACACCTGTGGCTGCTGAAGGCCGAACCTCACAATGTCGCCTGATGGGAGGTTATCGACGGCTCCCAAACTGGATCCGTGTAATCGCCATCAGACGACATCGGACAGGTATGGCGGGTTTTAGTAAAATCACCTTGTCTCATTGGATAAAACACAAACTGATCAGCTGTGAGGTCATGACCTGCAGATGTAGATCATCTGTATGTTTATCAGAACATGGCAACGTGATAAAATCCCAGTAAACGTCAAAGTTCCGCCTCCACATTACACCTGCGCCCAGTTTAGTCCAATCAGAGCAAGCATCCTGTCCCCCCACTACACACCACAGGGTGACCTCTGGGACTTTATCGTGGGGAAACACACTTAGAGGAAAAGCTCCCCTGACGGTTCGCACGTCACTTCCTGCATGGCAGTCCAACCAGCGGGATGAAAAGCCATTACACAACGCTAACTTCCGGTTTCCTGTGTGCCGTCAGCAGGTATCGATCCATGATTGATCCGGTTGTTAATCAAGTGTATTTTTGACGCTCTCTGCTCAGGTATTTGCTCACCTGTCTCCGCGGCCTTGTCACGGCACCAGTTGTTGGTTGCGTTTCACCGGAAGATCCGGGCATTTGAGCCACCCGGGCTCACCTGGATCAGCTCCGCTAAAGTCCGAGCTAACAGCTAACCGCTACGCTAAGATACGCGCTAACAGCTCGCGCTCCCAGGGAGCCACTGACCCATAGTCTGAGTCTGCGCAGAGGCGCGAGGAGAGAGGAGTCGACGATCACTCACGTTCAGTCCAGGAGCTTCATGTCCTCCCCGTTAGCCTGCAGGCTAACAGCCGCATCACTTCCTGCTGCCGCTTCTTCTTCTACTGCCGCGGCGGACACAGCGGATGCTTCTTCTTCTTTATATTGTTTATTGGCAGTTGGCAAACAGCAAAATGGTGCATTACCGCCACCAGCTGGTGTGGAGTGTGAACTGAATGTCAAAAATGAATCAAATACTCCCAAACAAACGAGTTAAAAAACAAAATATGACCTGATAACTTCTCCAGTTCTTATATCAACCAAGTCCAGTTTCAATTTCAGCTCACCGAGCATATTTCTGACAATGCACTAAAACATGTTCTATTGTTTCTTCTTCTCTGGTCCAGTCACGCTCCCCTGTGCAGTGTTTTCTCATTAAAAACAACGTGCTAATCAAACCAGCATGACCAAATCTGAGTCAGGATATAACCGTCTCCTCTCTCCTGTGTTCCTTTGGTTTTGTAAAACCATCACCCCCCAGTGGAGGCTGCGCATGCATATTTCTGTTGGTCGCGATTAGCGTAGCGTCTCCTTATGACGTAACCAGAAGAAAGAAACAAGCAGAGTGTAACAGTTTCAAACGGTACAGAACAAAAAGCAAAGAAGAAGAAACATGTTCGAGATCAGATCAAAATAAAGTTTTTAATAAATGAAACATATCACACTAAAGTCCCGCCTTCTCTGAAAACAGATCTGACAGCAGAAGAAAAAAAGGGACCAAAATAAACCTTTACTGCAGGTTTACAGCTTTA